ATCTAGTTTGTTGGGTTTAGGGGAATCAGAAATCTTTGCCAATCATCTAGAGGTCCCTATCTACCTCTTCTCTACTGTTGGCAGTGCTGAATAGGGTTGTAAGAAGGCATCAGTTTCTGTCTTGACCTGTGTTCGTTGCATGCAGTGCTATTTCCATCCTGCTTCAGCTCGGCTTTTGACAAGGTCCACAGTCTTAGTCTTGCCCTCCACTGTGGCAGAATTTTGTGTAATTAATTATGCAGTCGGTACGCACACCATTCATTTCAATGCAAAAGAAACACAGTGCAAAGGGTGTGGGTGTGTGGAACCTCATCAGTTACATATCGTTTGCAGACTGAAACCAAGAACAGCAGCAGATACCAGTCGTACTTGCTGAATAGATTTCTATTCCGGACATGGGACAAATCAGCATTAACAATTTCTGCTCCTGTTTCAGTTTCACTTGGAATTCTCCAATACCCCTACTGCTGAGCTAGATGAACCCATGCTCTGATTCAGAATAAGGAGCTCCCTATGTCTCCAAATCGCAGGTGGCACTGTGGGTTAAACCACAGAGCCTAGGACTTGCCGATCAGAAGGTCGGTGGTTCGAATCCCCACGATGGGGTGAGCTCGGTCCCTGCTCCTGCCAACCTAGCAGTTCGAAAGCACGTCAAAGTGCAAGTAGATAAATAGGTACAGCTCTGGCGGGAAGGTAAACGGCATTTCCGTGCGCTGCTCTGGTTCGTCAGAAGCGGCTTAGTCATGCTCGCCACATGACCCAGAAGCTGTACGCCAGCTCCCTAGCCAATAAAGCGAGATGAGTGCCGCAACCCCAGAGTCGGTCACGACTGGACTTAATGGTCAGGGGTCCCTTTACCTTTACCTTGTGGCTGGAAGGTGGCATAGAAATAAACACTTAACGAAGGGCACAATCCTAACCCTAGTTCTGCCGGGATGCGCAAGTTGGGAAGTGGCAGATCCCCAGCACAACTGGCTGATTCCTGGCTAAACCAGGCTATGCTGGCATCCTTCCCCATCCCTGCCTTAGACAGAGACACTTTGGCATGATTTCCCTATCCTGGGTCAGCTGATGAGGTCCAGACAGCTGAACCAAGCCTGGCAGAACTTATGCTGGTGTAAGCCCTGAGAAATGGGAGTTCTGGGAAGAAGGGCAGGACCAGACAGAGGGGACTTATGCTAGATCAGGGATCAGCAACCTTTTTCAGCCATGAGCCTGTCCACCATCCCTCAGACCATGTGGTGGTCCGGACTATATTTTTTTTTGGGGGGGGGGACAAATTCCTATGCCCCACAAATAACCCAGAGATGCATTTTAAATAAAAGGACACATTCTACTCATGTAAAAACAAGCTCATTCCTGGACCGTCTGTGGGCCAGATTGAGAAGGCGATTGGGCCGCATCCGGCCCCCGGGCCTTAGGTTGCCTATCCCTGTGCTAGATCCTAACTTCAGAGCTTGCAAAAGCGGTGGTGTAAGCCTTGTTTTCCCCCTCAGGCTGAGGACAACTCAGCGAAGCAATACCCCCTCTCCTGAGAAGAATTTGGATCTGGCATACTTTACATGGCTTCCCATACTTAGGATTGCTCCCTAACTAAATTAGTGCTCCCTCTCAACATGCTGCTGAAATGAAGATGCTTGCATAACCAGAACTGGGAACTCCTTTTCATTCTTATACTGAGAATTCATGAGCTCAGAATTCTTTAATGCTGATGTCTTTTGTACCAATCTTCAATTTGTGGATATTGGGATTATAGTAAAACACACATACAAAGTAGATCCTACAAGGCTGAAGCCTTATCATCAGCTTTCCAGCATCTGAGACTGTAACGTTAACACACAAACACACCCACAAGCACACTACCCTGAGCCCTCTAGAAATTTTCTCTCCCCTTGCACATTTTTTGCATTTACTTTCTTTTCTCATAAAATTCGGGGTAATGGTTTTAAAAAGAAAATGAAAAAACAATGGAGAATTTTTCAGTAAAGTGGACAATTGATATTTGAGGGAGCTAAATGCACAGAATTATGTGTTTAAAACTTCCAGGGTAGCTGCACTGAAGCACCTAGAGCAAGGAAACACAGATATGGAAATGGCAAGTTCCACATTGCCAGCACTGCCTTTCCACTCTCTGTTGTCCCCACCAGATATGGCTTTTCCTCTCCCATAATTCATGTGCCTTTTGAATAATGTGTAGTTTGGGACTGAGTCATGGATAGGAAAGTCTAGTTCTGGAGAACAAAACTAGGGAAATGATGGGAAATGTTTGAGAACCGGCAGACTGAGTCTTGACATCTCTGTGGGGAAAATCCTCTTCTTGGGCAAGCTTTCAATTTATCAGGTAGATAATGACCCCCAAGGCTTCTTGACAGCACTGAGAGTCAGTTTACCCAAACAAAGGCCTAAGGAGAGCCTGGGGAACTAATTAGGATGGAGCAGCTCTTGAGATGTCCAACTGTACCGACAATATACATAACCAAGCCATCCAGTTCCAGTCACCTGGACCTCAGTGGGTCTTTTCTGAGGCATGAGTTGCAAGAAAAGCTAACATGCTGAGAAAAAAATGAAGCCTCGAATTTGGGGAGGCTGTTTATCATCTCATTTGCTTAGGGCTGCAAAGCTCCCAGCCGGACAGGTGCATTTACGGCTTAAACAGCTGCATAGAAGTGAGAACTTAATGGGGAGGAATGTATGAAGCTGCCTTATATAGATCATGGATCCATCTAGATAAGGATTGCCTATTCCAGGGATGTCAATGAACCCATAGCCCTCCAGATGTTGCTGAACTCCAAGTCAGCAAGTCATCCTCAGGAAGCATGGCCCAAAGGTCAGGGATGATGGGAGTTGTAGTCTAGCAACATCTGCAGAGCCAAAGCTTCCCCATCCCAGGTTTTCAGTGGCTGGCAGCAGTTCTTGGCTCTGTATCAGTCCCACCTACAGGTCCGAAGGACTGAAGATGGACACCTCCCATAGTAGCGGTTCTCAACCTGTGGGTCCCCAGATGTTGTTGGACTACAACTCCCATCATCCCTGAGCTCTGGCCTTGCTAGCTAGGGGTGATGGGAGTTGTAGTTCAACAACATCTGGGGACCCACAGGTTGAGAAAGGCTGTCCCATAGGAACTCTACAAGTCAGTTATGCACCTTGTTTTCCCTACCACAATTCAGCAGGGATCGGTGCTGCTGCCACACCTTCTTGTAGGTGTTAGAAATGGTTGCCCGTCCAGAACTACAGCTCTCATAATCCCTGGCCATTGGCTGTGCTCACTGGGGCTCATGAGAGTACAGTGGTACCTCGGGTTAAGTATTTAATTCGTTCCGGAGGTCCGTTCTTAACCTGAAACTGTTCTTAACCTGAAGCACCACTTTAGCTAATGGGGCCTCCTGCTGCTGCTGCGCCACTGGAGCACAATTTCTGTTCTCATCCTGAAGCAAAGTTCTTAACCCGAGGTACTATTTCTGGGTTAGCGGAGTCGGTAACCTGAAGCGTATGTAACCCAAAGTACCACTGTAGAAGTTCAGCAACATCTGGACAACCAAAGGTTCCCTCCACCTATTCATCTGGGGAAAGGGCAGGAGTATCCTTTGCACCAGGAGTTGGAGACATGATTAGAGACCTAACAGACATGCTCTTGGGCAGCCCACATTCTGGTGATACCCTAGGTCTCTATCCAAAATGAAGGATTTAGGAGATAGAGCACCTTGCAGTGCACACACAAAACAACCCACAGTGAAGACTCTGTGACCCTATTGGTACCATTGCCTGATCATGACTTAGGAAGGAATACGTGAAATTTTCAGAAAGAGTTTGGGTGCAAAACAAGCAAGCCGTCCTGTCTTCTGCCCTGTCTTGCCTTGGCTGGCTGCTGCACCAATTATTATGTATGTTCTGACTATGAACTTAATGGATGGCATGCAGTGATGTCTGCCTGCTTGCACAATGGAAACCTACTTGCTCAATGAGATTTAAGGTCCCTCTTTTCCAGTCCCCACACCCTTACACGAAATACACTCTGGAAGGTCCCTGATACTCAGGAGCAGGTTTTGGGGGTGCATAAAGAGCTGCAAGAGGCAGGAGAGGAAGGAGAAACTGCTTTGTGCAAGTGGATGCCTGCTCACCCAATACTGTATGTATACAAGTTGCTCATATATATACAGTGGTACCTCTGGATACGAACGGGATCTGTTCCGGAGCCCCGTTCGCATCCTGAAGTAAATGTAATACGCGACTGCGCGTGCGCGGGTTGCGTTTTGCCACTTCTGCGCATGCGCGTGATGTCATTTTGAGCATCTGCGCATGCGCGACTGGCAAAACCCGGAAATAACACGCTCCGTTACTTCCGGGTCACCATGGAGCGCAACTCGAAAATACTTAACTTGAAGCTACTTCAACCCGAGGTATGACTGTATTGAGTATTGAGACTAACCTACAAACTGTGCCTAATTTTAAAAGGCATGATAATAGAGCTGTTGTGGGGAAGAAGCCTGGAACTAACTTTGGCCTCAGACAGAGGTGAGTGGGCAACTCACACCCTCCGTCTACCCCAGCTTACCATCTGTTTCCATCCCTGAATGTGAAAATCCACAGAGCTCTTGTCTCCTCTTCCTGCAGCTACTCTATAAACACCCCTTCACTTGCTTCCTTTAGGATCTTCCTCCCAGCAGTCTCGGGCCCACAAGGAGACCTCTCTCTCTCTCTCTTTCTCTCTCTCTCTCTCTCTGGAAGTAGCTAATTTCCTGATGGGAGCACCGCTGCTGTTGTGGCTCTCCTGCCCCCCAAGTCTACCTCCATCACCCCTTAGACCTTGGTCTAGTTGTGGTTTTCCCAACCAACCCTAGACCTGCCACCAATTTCCCAAGAAATCACATCAAACCGGGTTAAGGCAGAAACCTCAGTTAGTCCCAACAGTAGCCAATGCCATTGCCAATGAAACAATTAACCAGAGGTAAGTCCAGTAGAATGCAACCAGAAGGGAGCTCAGGTAGAAACACTCAGAGAAGGGGAATGGCCATAGCTTGGGGGTACAACGTCTGCTTTGCATGCAGAAGGTCCCAGGTTCAAGCCCTGGCATCTCCAGGAAGGGCTGCGAAAGATTCCCTGACTGAAACCCTGCCAGTCAGTGTAGACAGGGACAGATGGACCAAGGTCTGCCCCAGTTGAAGGCAGCTCCTTGTGTTCCTGTGCCTCTGCACCCTTCTTGTTTCACTGGCAGGATGACACCTGTGCAATCCTTAGCAATCTGGAAGCAAAACGGCAGTGATAAAGAAAATGCTTGTATTTATAACCTCTAAATGCGAAAATGTGCACTCTGCATTGTGGGGAAATGTAAATACAGGCTAGGTTAATATTTCAAAAGTTCTTAGAGCCTGCTGCCATATTCAACGGAAGCTCATTTGGCTTGCTGACTCTCTTACTATGAGTCCCTTGTTCGCTTAACATAAAAACAGGGTGCTTATTTCCTCTGTCAAATATTAGAGGATGCTGGTACGTTTGTAAATAAACATTTATTTTTATTTTATTTTATTTTGCAAATGCACCGTATGCCACCAGCCTTCTGCTCTTCACAGGAAAAGGTTGCTGGAAAGCCTGACCTGAACTATAGAATCATAGAATCATAGAATCATAGAGTTGGAAGAGACCACAAGGGCCATCGAGTCCAACCCCCTGCCAAGCAGGAAACACCATCAGAGCACTCCTGACATATGGTTGTCAAGCATCTGCTTAAAGACCTCCAAAGAAGGGGACTCCACCACACTCCTTGGCAGCAAATTCCACTGTCGAACAGCTCTTACTGTCAGGAAGTTCTTCCTAATGTTTAGGTGGAATCTTCTTTCTTGTAGTTTGGATCCATTGCTCCAAGCCCCGCCAATTCAGGGAAGGGAGTCATGGAATAAAAACATTTGCCTCTAGGCTTGCTAGAGAGGTTAAAAGCAACAAAAAAGGCTTTTATGGGTATGTTCGTAGCAAAAGGAAGAACAAAGAAACAGTGGGGTCACTCAGAGGAGAAGATGGTGAAATGCAAACAGGGGACACAGAAAGGGCTGAACTCCTCAATGCCTTCTTTGCCTCAGTCTTCTCCGATAAAGAAAACAATGCCCGACCTGAAGAATTTGGAGCAAATGATTCAGCAAAGGAAACACAGCCCAGAATAACTAAGGAGATAGTACAAGAATACTTGGCTAGTTTAGATGTATTCAAGTCTCCAGGGCCAGATGAACTGCATCCAAGAGTATTAAAAGAACTGGCAGATGTGATCTCAGAACCACTGGCAGTCATCTTTGAGAATTCCTGGAGAACAGGCGAAGTCCCGGCAGACTGGAGGAGGGCAAATGTTGTCCCTATTTTCAAAAAGGGGAAAAGAGAGGACCCAAATAATTACCGCCCAGTCAGTCTGACATCAATACCAGGGAAGATTCTGGAGCAGATCATTAAGCAAACAGTCTGTGAGCACCTAGAAAGGAATGCTGTGATCACCAATAGTCAGCATGGATTTCTGAAAAATAAGTCATGTCAGACTAACCTGATCTCGTTTTTTGACAGAATTACAAGCCTGGTAGATGAAGGGAACGCAGTGGATGTAGCCTACCTTGATTTCAGCAAGGCATTTGACAAGGTGCCCCATGATATTCTTGTAAAGAAGCTGGTAAAATGTGGTCTTGACTATGCTACCACTCAGTGGATTTGTAACTGGCTGACTGACCGAACCCAAAGGGTGCTCATCAATGGTTCCTCTTCATCCTGGAGAAGAGTGACTAGTGGGGTGCCACAGGGTTCTGTCTTGGGCCTGGTCTTATTCAACATCTTTATCAACGACTTGGATGATGGACTCAAGGGCATCCTGATCAAATTTGCAGATGACACCAAACTGGGAGGGGTGGTTAACACCCCAGAGGACAGGATCACACTTCAAAACGACCTTGACAGATTAGAGAACTGGGCCAAAACAAACAAGATGAATTTTAACAGGGAGAAATGTAAAGTATTGCACTTGGGCAAAAAAATGAGAGGCACAAATACAAGATGGGTGACACCTGGCTTGAGAGCAGTACATGTGAAAAGGATCTAGGAGTCTTGGTTGACCACAAACTTGACATGAGCCAACAGTGTGACGCGGCAGCTAAAAAGCCAATGCAATTCTGGGCTGCATCAATAGGAGTATAGCATCTAGATCAAGGGAAGTAATAGTGCCACTGTATTCTGCTCTGGTCAGACCTCACCTGGAGTACTGTGTCCAGTTCTGGGCACCACAGTTCAAGAAGGACACTGACAAACTGGAACGTGTCCAGAGGAGGGCAACCAAAATGGTCAAAGGCCTGGAAACGATGCCTTATGAGGAACGGCTAAGGGAGCTGGGCATGTTTAGCCTGGAGAAGAGGAGGTTAAGGGGTGATATGATAGCCATGTTCAAATATATAAAAGGATGTCACATAGAGGAGGAAGAAAGGTTGTTTTCTGCTGCTCCAGAGAAGCGGACACGGAGCAATGGATCCAAACTACAAGAAAGAAGATTCCACCTAAACATTAGGAAGAACTTCCTGACAGTAAGAGCTGTTTGACAGTGGAATTTGCTGCCAAGGAGTGTGGTGGAGTCTCCTTCTTTGGAGGTCTTTAAGCAGAGGCTTGACAACCATATGTCAGGAGTGTTCTGATGGTGTTTCCTGCTTGGCAGGGGGTTGGACTCGATGGCCCTTGTGGTCTCTTCCAACTCTATGATTCTATGATTCTACGATTTCTCTTTAACCAGGCCTTTTGCTGATAGACATCCAATGCCCCCTTAAAATGTGTTGGGAGGGTTATTGGGTTGTTCTTGTTTTTACTTTTATTATATATATTGTGATTTCATGTTGTAACTACCCCGGATATACAAATTTAATAAATAAAATGCTAACATAAGAAGTGCCTACTGGATCAGGCAAATTGCCCATCTAAGACCAGCATCCTGTTCTCACAGTGGCAAACCAGCTGCCTTTGGGAAACTCACAAGCAGGATTGGAGCAGTAGAACTATGTCCTCGCCTGTGGTTTCTAGCAACTGGTACAGTGGTACCTTGGGTTACAGACGCTTCAGGTTACAGACTCCGCTAACCCAGAAATAGTACCTCGGGTTAAGAACTTTGCTTCAGGATGAGAACAGAAATCGCGCGGTGGCAGCGGGAGGCCCCATTAGATAAGTGGTGCTTCAGGTTAAGAACAGTTTCAGGTTAAGAAAGGACCTCCAGAACGAATTAAGTTCTTAACCCGAGGTACCACTGTATTCAGAAGATCTGTTGCCTCCAGCTATGGAGGCAGAACAGAGTCATCATGGCGAGTAGTTATCTATTGGTAAATTTGTCTAAGCCTCTTTTAAAGTCATCTATGTTTGTGGCCATCACTGCCTTCCTGCAGGAGTTCCATTAAAAAAAGCAAAAGGTAAAGGACCCCTGGACTGTTAAGTCCAGTCAAAGGCGACTACAGGGTTGTGGTGCTCATCTCGCTTTCAGGCCAAGAGAGCCTGTCCGCAGACTCTTTCTGGGTCATATGACCAGCAGGACTAAACCGCTTCCGGTGCAATGAACACTGTGACGGAAACCAGAGCGCACAGAAACGCCGTTTACCTTCCCACCGTAGCGGTACCTATTTATCTACTTGCACTGACGTGTTTTTGAACTGCGAGGTTGGCAGGAGCTGGGACAGAGCAACAGGAGCTCACCCCATCGCAGGGATTCGAACCGCCGACCTTCTGATTGGCAAGCCCAAGTGGCTCATGCGTTCTAGTGTTATAAGAGAGGGAGGGGAACCCATTTTCTCTAGCCACTTTCTAGATGTCGTACATTTTATAAACTTCTATCATGGTGCCTCTTACTTGCCTTTTGGTGTTTTGTCATCTTGGTGTTTATTTACAAATACACAGGTTGAGCGGAGGCGGAGGCACGATGCCCAGTGCTTCCCACATTGGATCTCCATGGAGACAGACAGCCTCTAAGGCCCAAACTCATCTCCTTCTATATTTGGGGGCCAAACTACACGCTACATTGAAGCTGTGTCTTTTGTTTCTCTTTGGTTAATTAGTTAATTAATTACAGGCGCAATTACAGTGCGGTTGTTACTGGGGGGAACAGTGTGTGGAGGGAAAAGAGACTTATCTCTTCTTCCCTCAGCTCATGGGCATAGCCAGGGGAGCAGCCCCCCCCCCCCGAATCAATAAATAAAAATACTTAACTAAAAGTAGAAATTGTAGAAAGATTTTGACAGATTTTTCTGAGCACTCAGGGTCGAAAGCAAGCAATTTAAAACAACTGTTGTTGAGACATTTCATTCTGAATCTGCTAGACAGAGCCAGACAGAGGATGGCAGTTGGATATCCTGGCTAAACCCATGCCCCAGCTCCAATTAAAAAATACAGTGGTACCTCGGGTTAAGAACTTAATTTGTTCTGGAGGTCCGTTCTTAACCTGAAACTGTTCTTAACCTGAGGTACCACTTTAGCTAATGGGGCCTCCCGCTGCTGCCGCGCTGCCGCACAATTTCTGTTCTCATCCTGAAGTAAAGTTCTTAACCTGAGGTACTATTTCTGGGTTAGCTGAGTCTGTAACCTGAAGCATCTGTAACCTGAAGTGTCTGTAACCAGAGGTACCGCTGTATATCCATACATCTAGGTTTTCTTTGAGCCTTAGGAGAGAAAAAACTCACTTGATGTCAATGGCAGCTACACACGAAGTCAGGGATCACCAATGTGTTGCCCATGGGCACCAATGTGCCCAACAGTGCCTGCAAAATGTCTCGGTAAATTATCCCTCCAGAATAAACAATACAGTGGTACCTCAGGTTAAGAACTTAATTCGTTCCGGAGGTCCGTACTTAACCTGAAACTGTTCTTAACCTGAAGTACCACTTTAGCTAATGGGGCCTCCTGCTGCCGCTGCGCCACCGGAGCCTGATTTCTGTTCTTATCCTGAAGCGAAGTTCTTAACCTGAAGCACTATTTCTGGGTTAGCGGAGTCTGTAACCTGAAGTGTATGTAACCCAAGGTACCACTGTACACAAAAGATGGTTAGCTCTTCCTGCTCTGTTCCTGTTTGCAGGAACAGCTTTTCCCAC